GAGATGCTAGCCCATGGCAGGTGGGCACAGGCTGCAAGGCAGGGACTCCATCAAGTCAGCAGATCATTGCCAAGACCTCTGGTAACCCATGTTCCAGTTCTTCTCCAAACCAGCTCAACCTGGTTCCTTTTAACCCTCGTGGCTGGATTGAGATGTCCACCCTTAGTCATAGGACAGCTCCCAAGTCATGTTCTCCTGCTTCTTTGAAGCACTGAGGGGTTAGGCCAGGACCAATGTATTATAAATAAGTGGATGCCCTAGACACCCACCTGCTGCACCAACCCCACTGGGGCCCTTCCTGATGGCAGGGACCCTACTTCATGTCTATGTCAACCCAATTAAAAGATCCAAACTCCTTTGGTGGTAATCACTACCAAAGTCCTCCTGCCCCCTTGCAGAGACATGCTATCCCTGTCTTGGATTGGGTTATGGGGCTTTCTTTCCCCACCACATAATAACTATGTAACAAATATTGATTGTGTGCCACTGTGTGCTAGGCACTGTGCTAGCTGTGCTGGGGGTTCATGTGGACAGAAAGAGAGCTGCTTTCGCTGTTCCCAAAGATCAAACAGTTCATTGCGGGCGACACCCTCATCTGTGAAATGGGTACTGTCGCCATGCATAATAACAGTGCCTGCCCCTGCTGTTGGGTCCACGAGACAGTGTAGGCAGAGAGCCGAGAGCCTCGGCTGGCTTACCATAAGCACTAAATACCAGGAGCTGTGTGCTGAGAGCCTGAGGGGAAGTGTGAGGGGGCACTGGGGACCCAGATGAGGAGCCCCTAATGCAGAGGGATGGCATCAGGGGAGGTTTCCAGGGATAAGAGATGCTTCTGCCTCCTGGAACAATCATTTGGGGCCACCTCTAGTGAGGGAATGGACAGGATGGCAAGAAATTCCCAGGCCTGTTCCTGGTGCTGCTGACACCAAGTCAGACTGTGGGGTCTATCCAAGAACTGTCACATCCACAGCCCCTCAGAGAGGAACTTCCGGGCAGGAGAAATGCACAGGGGAGGGGGATGTGGAGGCCTTGTGGCACGGAATGACCAGAAGGTTCAGTCACTGTTCTCTCTGGGCTTGTCCAGCTTACTGTTGCTGGTCTAGGGACAGCATATACAGGCCTGTGGGAGAGGCCAAGGTGTTCTCTACAGGCTTACAAACCCCAGAGTCATGGGAGGACCTGGCGGGGAGTAGGGGTAGGAGAGGTTGGATCAGGAAGCTGACAGCTTGGAAACCGGGTCCAGAATCCAGAGGCAGAGCCATGGACCCAGCATTCCAGAGTGGAAAAGAGGGCCAGCCAGGCCAGGCTCTCCAAAGGAAGCCAGCATTTGGTGGAGGCAGGGTGTCGGGGGCCGCTGTACTCACATCCCACTCTGAGTATGTATGACCAAGTGTGCAATTGTCTGTCATCTGTGAAATTGTCTGCAGCCCTTCCTAGCTATGTGCTGCAGGGCAGGTTACCGTACCTCTCTGATTTTCTAGATTTTTTGCTGGGAATAAAAAAAAACAGGTTAAGGAGAAAAAAAAAATTGCATTTAACATGCTGCCAGCAGGTGGGCCCAGAGTCAGGCTGAGAATCCAGTGGCCACTGTAGCTCCCACCTGCACCATCTTTTCATATCAATTCCTCCTCCTTGATGCTCCCATTGTTGTGGCTCTGAGCCCACAGTCTATAGTGGGTTCATTCAAAGTTCGTATTCCAAAGAACAGAGATGTGGGGGCAGGGGGAGCAGGACACTCTGTAAGCCACATCCAAAACTGTTCCAAGCAGAAGGAAAGGAGCCTGGGTGGGAGGTGACCTAAGAGTGCCATAGCTTGGGGTGAGGGGTGAGCACAAACACTCCTACTGAGTCAAACTCTCCATCCAAAGGTGGCCATCCCTGAGAAAGAGTAATAGGAAAGTGCAGAAAAACCAAAAATCCAGACTCACAGCTAATTGAGTTGCAGGTGGTGGCTGGAGACAGACTATTTCACTCTCCCCCCCGCCCCCCAAAATAGTCCTCAGGTGACAGGGCAGACCTAACAGCTTCTCACAGGGAAATCCAGAAGAGAGGGGGAAAGAACTGGGGAGGTTGGTGGCAGGAATGAGGAAGTAGGCAAAGAAAAATGGCCCACAAAACGCAGAAACGCCCCAGTATGCTTGCTTCCCAAACCCAGCCCATGAATCGAGGGGTGACAGGTCTCTCATCTCTGATGCCAAGAGCCAGGAGCTCCGGGCAGCCGCAGGTACTACATCTGCACCTGCCAGCACTTGGAAAGAGGCAATAAAGCATCATAGTGGGGCCTGGAATTCTAAGTGCCTGCAGCTGGGAAGGGATCGCCTTGCCTGAGAGCAGCTCACGGCACGTGTCCACGATGTGAGGGCTCACGCTGCCTCTCTGTCCAGTGCAGCCTGATCCTGCGGGTGAGGGTGGTGGACAGAGGGGCTGCAGGGCAGGGGCACACATGTAATCTAGACCTGGAGGCTGCTCTAGGCTGGGGGCTGGCTCAGACACACAGGGATATTCTGGAGGAAGCCCAAGTGGGCTGGATGATTTACTGAGGCCGGCAGAAAGCTGGGACGCTTGAGTCACTGGTAAATAAAAGTGGGTCATAAAGCAGCCCAGCTAAGCCGGGAAAGACACCAGGGCCACATGCAGCTTAGAGCAGGGCCCATCCCCTAAATGATAATAACCACAAGGCTTATACAGCACTTCCAGTGCTAAGTGCTTTGTGCGCATATTCATTTACTTCATCCTCACAACCAGTGGCCCTAGTAGCCTCTGTTACAAGACTGAAAAAGGCATGGAGGCAGAGAACCAAGCACTAAGAGGCAGGATGGGAAACCACGTGATCAGCCTCCAGGAGCAGCTGCAACTCTACTGGCCTGTCAGCTCCCTGGGGCCCAGAGAGCCCAAAGCTCCTGACTCAGCAGTCTGGGGTGAGGCCCAACACTCCATATCAGTAACAGGCTCCCAGGATGCCACTGGCCCACAGACCACACCTCAAATAAGAGGCTCTGAACTACTCCTCTCCAGTCCATTCCCAGGGCACCTCTTCTGCTGCAGAGAAAGGCTGACACCTGTGATGCTGTGGCTCCCTGAGGGGTCTGTGAATTACCCAGTTAACAGTAACAGGGCCCCTGCAGTGGATCCAAATCAATGACTGGGAGGGAGGTATGACTGCTAAAATACCCGTGTCCATACCCTAGCTTACCTAATTCAATCAGAACCTCTGGGATGGAGCTCAAATAGGTGTTTTTTTTAAAGCTCCCTGGTTGATTCCAACGTGGAGCTGCAGTGGAGTCCCCAGGGCAGACAGTTGTGTGTGTAGATCCATGTGTCAGATCCATTCCTACAAAACTGAGCAATCTCTCTGGGTTACATCATGGATTTCATGGATGCTTTCAGGGAAGGGATAGTGAGCCATCTTGTCTCCTGGGGCACCCCTGGGGAGCACAGCTGGCAACCCCCATCCTGGCATGCCCTCAGAGATGCCTCTGCTCTCCCACTTGTGAGCTTTCAAGCGAAGCAGACGTTGACTAGGACCAGCCTTGGAAACTGAGGCTCCTCACAAAGACTGAGCAAACCTCTGAGTCCTCTTCTAAACTGGGCCTCAACCTTGGCCCTGGTCCTGTCTTCCACCTGCCAGGCCAGCCTTAGCAAGAATCCTGCCATGTCAATTTAACAAGAATTCCTCCTACCCTTGGCGTCTGATAAAGTTCCTGGTCCCCCCACCATCTGTGTTTATGTCCTTAGGTTACCTATAACAAGAACCCCTGCCCTTGATGTCTCCTGTCAGTCATTTTCTATTGAAATCCATTGTCCCCCTCCCTCTTCTCTCTGGCTATAAATACCCCCTTGTCTTTGTAGAATGTGGAGTTGAGCCTGATCATTCTCTCAGTAGTCTTGAATAAAGTCTTCCTTATCACTTTGATGACTGGTAGGATATTTTTTCTCAAGTATTGCCCCTCTAGAGAAAAGTCACCTCAGAAAGTGCATAGCCCTGTGTGTGTGTGTTGGAAGGAGCGGGGGCGACACCACTGCCAAACCGACACAATTTAGAGACTTCACCTTGATATTCAAGGTCTGAGCAATGACTCAACCCGGACAATGATCTCAAGCCTTATTTACCTATTAGTTGATCAAAATTAGATGCTTCACTGTTCCTCACACACATCTGAACTTTCTGCCCAGCTGCCTTTGCCAGGCTTTTTCTTCCACCTTCCCATTCTTCAAGCCCATCTTCTCCAAGCTACAGCAATCTCTCCCCCGGTGACAAGACTACTTCTCCCTTAGGATTTTTTCCCCCTGTCTTCCATAACTACAAAACCTTCCATTTCAGGTGTGTATATGGTTCTCTGGGAGAAAGACTACACTAAAACTGCATTTCCCAGCTCCCTTTGCAGCTCATGAAGTCACCTGAGCAAGTTCTGACCAATGCAAGGTAAGCAGAAGCAATGTGTGTTAACTCCAGGAGTGCTCTTATGTTCTCATGTCTCTCCTCCTCTTTCTGCTAACATAATGGCTAGAGTGCCAACAGCCATCCTGGACTGTGCGGAGTTCTTGGACATGGAAGCTACCCATGGTGGAGCAGTTTCTGACTACTGGACCATCACACCAGCCTTCGGCTAACTGTACCAGACCTGAACCTAAGAGGAAAATCACCTTCCATTTTGTTTGAACCACTGCTATTTGGGAATTTTCTGTAACTTACAGATAGTTTATTGTTATTAGCTCCACCCTTTTAAAGCCCTGGGGCATGGACTCTGGACTCTGGTTTACCTAAATCTACTGCATAGAATCACCACTTGCATCTTCCAACTAAGTTAAACAGTAAGCAATCTGCAGGCTAAGACATGTCTTAGGACTGAATGGAAGTTTCTACTATATTCCACACAACTTAGTTTATATCCGTATTCTCAGCTGGCTGCACACCTCCCTGGAATGGTGCACCTAAGAAAAGTGTGCCCTCAATCTATCCAGGCTGCTTGTTCCCACCGTCTCCCTGGAGCATGCCTTACCAGGATGTCTGAGTCCTCGGGTTTCTCCCCTGTGGCTGGGCTGGAACAGTTGCGAAGTTTGAATATCCAGTACTCCTTGGCAGTGACAAAGAAGTTCCATGGCAGTAGGCCACCAATGCCCAAGCTAAAGAAGATGATGTAGGCACCATGGAAGCGGTCCTCAGGCCTCTGTAAGACAGGCGGTGGGCGGTCTAGCAGCTTCTCAAGCAGTGCCTCCTGATCTGCTAGGTGAGAGCTGCTTGAGGTTCTGTAGGTGGAGTTTGAACTGTGATGAAAGTTGTCCTCCGAGACAATGGCCACTGTTGAAGCAGCAAGAGAAATAGAAAGAGGGCAGGTGATGAGAAACAGGCTGATCACAGCTGGAGACTCACCCATCCTACCAAGTTGTATACCAGCCTGGGGTCTAAAGGGCCACCAAAACATAGAGAGTTTCATACTTAAGGATCAGGGAGAAAAACAGGATATCAGAACTGTAAGTAAGCTCAGGGTCACTCCACTCATGTCCATTCGGGGACAGCATAGGTGCAAGCAAGTATGGGGCTGGATGAGAGTAAGGCAATATGGCATAGCGGAGACTGTGGCAATTAATTCAGAAAGAAAAACTGAGTCTCAAGGCAGTAAAATTTCTCTGCAGTCATATCAAAAGGAATTAGGACCATAATGGATAGAGAATATTCTCTATACTCTTTTCAACTTCATGAGAAAAGCAAGGAGTAGGAAAGTGTGCAGAGTATGCTACTGTTTGTGCCCCCAAAAGCAGGAATGTGGTGAATGGGGAGGAGAATATACACAGTATACATATGTGTGTATGTAAGTATATATGTATGTGTGTGCATGTGTGTATATATATATATCTTCTAGAAGGACACAAAAGACATTTTTCAGAGTGGCTTTCCCTGAGGAGGGAGGTCCTCACAGAGAAGGCGAGGCCTTCACTGCATATTCTTTTAAATTTTAAGTGATATACATTTATTTCCCATCTAAAAATAAAATTATAAAGGCATTAAAATTAAATTAATTTTATTTGTCTTGAGGTGACTCCAGAAGCCAGTTTGAGACATCTGACAGTCCACTCCCTCATTTCATTTGTGGGAAAAGAGAGATCCAAAGAGCAGAAGGTCACAGAGCAGGTAAATGACCAAGTCTAGGTTTGCAGCTCCTGGGTCCCCACCTCTGTTCATCACATCCTACCAGGAGAAAGCCACCCCAAATCCATGGTAGCCCCTAAGACAAAGGGAAGAGTCTAAGTTGCCAGTAACTATTGCCATATGCTCTCGGCCAAATCCCCCTAGTCTGAGCTTCCACTTCCCCATCTGCAAACTCAAGGGAAGCCTTTTTACAATATTTATGTAACTGTAACTGGCTGGCAATGCCTGGCCTATCTATATGGCTGTTGAACAAACATCAGCATCTTCCTCACCATCCTGGGCTTGTCACCTGGCTGGCTGGCTGCTGAATTTGGCTGTGAGGTAGCATGCCTACTTCTATGCTCTATATAGCACCTAGGATATGGTGGCAGCTTGATAAATGGGAAATATTTCCATAATGTTGAGAATGGGGCACTCTGTAGTCACTTCTGCATTAACTTCCCCCTCAACCCACAAATCAAAAAAAAAAAAAAAATACATCTCAGCTCACATAAGAGGCTGAGCCTAACTTAGCATCAAACCAAGCTGACCAGTACCTTTCTTCCCTGGTGAGATAGGCACACCCTGTCATCTGGGCACTGAGCCTTAGCTGCTATTTTAGGAGAGCCTCATGACATTCCTCAGAATTAGGCAGAACAGGAATTATTGCCTCATCTCTCCAGATGTAAAGAATAAGGCCATAAAGGTACTTTATTTTTCCTGTTGGGACAGAGGAAATGTCTCCCCTACCCCTCATTTAATTGATAGTCAATCAAATTAAGATCAGACAGATTAGTAATAGAAAGATCATATATAATTACATACAAATGAAAATCTACATGGATGTAAATTCTAAAGTATATGGACAAAAGGAGGGTATATATCCTGGGCTAAGGAATGGGACTGGGGCCCTACTAGGGTATAAAATAGGAAGTATATACCGGCGTTTAGTCATTCTGTTTGATTTCCTCATCAGGTAATAATAATTAAGGTTGGTACTAGTGTGGCTTCAAATAAAATGTAGAATAGGATTAGTTCTGTTGCTGTAAGGAGGGAAGAAGGTGATTTACATGACAAAGACCTGATGTTCTATATTTACATGTTTGCCCTGCCATATAGATAGGTTTCTCTGACAGCAAGGTTATTTCTGGTAAAAATCCTAATTCTGGTAAGACTCCAATTTTCATTCTTCTAGGTAGTTAAGGAGTGCAAACATTCCTCTTGAACATGGCTCCCACTGACCTTAGCTTAAAATACTCTACATATCTTGCTACTGACATATCTTGGGTAGGCCTGTTCTGGATACCTTGGGGAGGCCTAGCCTTCAATCCTACATTCAAAGATTAAGAATTCCCAGTAGTTAAAATTAAATCCAGTACTTATGCAGGCCAAGATCTGTGCCAGCACTTGAACCTAACAACACGCTAGTATGGCAGGTGTTACTCTAACACCCATTTCACAGGTGAATAATCTGGGGCATGAAAAGGTTGGGTATTTCAGGGGCAAAGGTCATGTAATATATACATACGTTGATTTTCAGTGATGCACATCTGAAACTTTTAATGTTATAAAGCAATGTTTCTTCACTTGTTAAAAATGTTAATTTCCTGCCCAAATTACCTAAAAAAGTTTAGCATCTAGAGGAAGAACTTGACTTTTTTATTTAATAAAAAGAGAAATATTTATATAATACTTAATAAATATAAAATAAAATTAATAAATTTGCTATTGCATCCAAATAAACTTTTTTTTACAATTTTGTAAGGTTCTCTGGAATAGAAAATGTCCTTGTATCACCAGAGCACAATGCCTTAAACATTGTGCTAGCGACTTAATTATTTGTTGAATTAAAAAAAATCTTACCTAGCGATAAAATGGACTACAAAATGGTCAGTAATTCAAAGTTCAAGAATTTATTATGTTGTTCCATGATCATAAATGACTTACAGTTACTTAGAAAGTATAACACTGTCATACTTTGGTTTAGTTGTCAACTGAAATTCTCAGAATAAAGTTTCTTAAAGTCCAAAGAATAAAAGAAAGAAAAGTTGAGTAACTTGCCCAAGGTCACACAGCAACCAACTGGCAAGAGTAAAATTACAAAGCTAAGCAGTCTGAGGCCCATGTAGATACCCTGGCCTCCCCAGGAGGAGGCTGGCTATAATGTGAACGCAAGCCTGCTGGCTGCAAGTACAGTCCTTCCTGAAGGCCTCACAGAGCAAAGACAGCACCGCAGGTCACCCTCAGCAGTGTTTGCTGGAGGAATGGACTCTGTGGGGCCAGGATATTCTCTCTTCTACTGGGCACATACCCTGGGGTACGCAGGACAGAGGCTGCTGGAGGCCAGGCCTGGAGCATCCCAGTCAGCAAGCCTTTTTTAAATTCCTCTGGTTAAGCAGAGCCCTTTTCCAGCCCAGCCCTAACGGAAAAGACAGTGGGCACATTGGGAGGTGTGCAAAAACACAGGGGCACGTGTGCATATGCGCACAATTTCTGAATTAGTATTTAAAAACATGAAAGAGTAAAAAGTTCATTATGACCCAGCCAGGACCCTAGACAAAGGGCAAGTGGATCCTTCCAGATGCTCCAGCTACCGGTGAGTGCAGGGGCCCACATTCCGGACCCTTTCTCAGCTCCAGACATCTATTTGTCCAGGACCGTTCAGCCTTGACCAAGCTTCTAAAGGAGCCAAGAATTTTCTCTAACCCAGGTCACAGGCCAGGCACTGGAGTGAGCAAGGTCTTATTACTCTTTATGAAAGCTAGCTGCTGGCTGTTGGATTAAAAAAGAAAGTAAAGAAAGGTAAGGAAGCACCCTCATTGACCCTAGGGGAGCTGGCTGTGGCCTGGTGCATAATCTATTCCTCAGCACCTGCAGGAACTGGCCTGGCTGGGCCCTACTCCCTCCCTCCTGACCTGAAGCAATGGGTAGCCCCTGAAAAAGAAGCAAACTTGGGGGGACCCAAAGCCCCTACGAAGCATCTCCCCACCTGCTGCCACCATCTGCACTGGGAACTGGGTGCTGGTCCCAAGGAAGTTTCAGAGCTGACCTAAGTCAGTCTCCCCTCAGGTCTTCCTTTCCTCATCTGTGAAATGGGGGCAGGAGCTGGAGAAGTGAACGGGTGGGAAAGCATTGCCAGGAAACAGAACTTTCCCGAGGCGATGGCCGAATCGGCCTTGGGGAGGCGCACACCCCCAGCCTCAGGCTCCCCAAGAGTCAGCAGCCTTCTAGAAACTTGGGCTGAGTTGCCATATCAGGTTCCCGTATCCAGGTGGTGACCTTTAGCTTCAGGAAATCCAGGAAGAGAGAAAAGAATCTGGGAGAGAAAGACAGAGAGAAGTGAAGGGGTGAGGAGCGCGCGAGGAGGAAGAGGCAGGACGCCGGGGAGGGGGTACAGCGAGCGCCCACGCTGAAGGGGAGGAAGCGGGGCTGGGCTGGGGTCCCGGGGCTCCCGGGGGGCAGCCCCCCGCCGGGCGCGGGACGAAGGCCGCCGGCAGCGCCCGTCCGGGGCGACCCAGAGGCGGAAGAGCAGGGCGGGGCCGGGCCCGCACCAGACGCCCGCCCGCACTTACTGTCGCGCCGCGTCGCCGCCGACCCGGCTGCCTCCCCGGCCTCCGCGGCCACTGCGACTCGGGGCTCCGCCGGGCCTTAGGCCGGACTCCGCCTCCCGCCCCGCCCGCCCCGCCCGGCCCCGCCCCGCCCGCCGACGCCGGCGCCCGGCCCTGGGCGAAGTCTCTCCCTGCGCGTCGCGCCGGGCTGGGGACGCGCCCCGCTTCTCAGGCCGGGAAGACAAGGCGCCCAGGCGCGGGTGACCTGCCCGTTCGGCCTCGGAGTGCGCGGCGACGCCGGGCCCTGCAGCCGAGGCCGCTGCTTCGCTTCGGGGCGGGACCCCTCGTCTCAGCCCTCCCCTTTAAAGCTGGTCCCCAGGACCTGGAGGAGCGCCCCACCTCCCCCCCAAACTCCTGAAGAGGAGCTTCTATAAATGCAGCCCCCTCTTCTTCCTGGTTTCCCCCTGTTGATCCCCTACGGGGCCTTCTCAGGCACCCCTCTTGCCCCAGACCTGACCCCTGCCACCAGCTTTTGCTTCCCGTCTAGGTTCTCATAGGCTGGCAAATAAGTTAAGGACAGATTGACAAAACCCCAAAGTTTAAGAACACGGGGAGACCCGGTAAAGCTAACTCACTGAAATGGCAGACGTCACTTCCTTAAATAACTTTGGTTAAAGAAGAAAGGGGAGAGGGCCTGGAGTTGTGGGAGGTTCCCAGGAGGGCCAGGCAAAAACAGAGATCTGACTATTATGCAGATTTAAGTTGTTGCCATTGACAACAAGGGTGACAAAAGCCCTTGAGGCGGGTGGATTCAGGGCTGTTCCGGGGCCAGCCCCAGGCGGTGATCCTGTCCTGCTGGTGTCCAAGGTTTTGTCACCTGGCAGCTTTTCTCTGCGCAAACTCCTGCTTGCTGTACAGTCATTTAAATCTTTCTCTCTCTCTCTCCCCCCGCCCTTTCCCTCTCCCCTCCCTCCACTCCAGCCCTCCTCCCTCTCTGTTGTGTGTACGTGTGTGAATGTGTGAGACAGTTTCAGGGCATCAGAGGCACTGGGAGCCACTGCTCTGAGGGGACTTTCTCCAAATGGAGGAGACACCAGCTGCCTGGGGATTCGCTGGCTGCTATGACTGAGTTTGGGCAGGCGCTGGGGACAGTAGGGAAGAGGGGCCTCCTTCAAAAAGACAGAAAGACTTGGAGGAAACAGGTTGAGATGCACCTGCTGGGCTGCTCCCTGGCTAGTATGGGCTCTTCTCCAGGATTTAGACAGATGGTGGCAGTGTTGTCTACCTTGAGGACAAGATGAGGCACACTCAGCTTCCCAGGGAATGTTACAGGCTTTGGGGGATTGGGAAGGAGCATAGGAGTGGGATCAGAAATCATGCTCTCTGATTCTGACCCTGCCTCCCACCAGCTGAGTGACCTCGAGCAAGTCTCTTCCCCTTGGGAAAGTCAGCTATGAGAAGATGCAAACATCTCCCCTAACATAATCAGAAAAGAGGGAGTCAAGAAGGGGAAGGTGGAGTGGCAACAAAGACACAAATCAGACATTCCAGGACCAGGGACAGAAGGGGAGTGAAGGGTGTGGGCAGACGTGTGATACTGGGTCCTGTCCCCTGGTCTGCCATGGTTCTGGGCAGGCTGAGTAGGTCTCTTTTGATTGGTGCCTAGGAATGAGTGCCACACTTTCCTGCCTGAGGGTCCCCCACTCTATCTGGGGAGTTTGAGTTTGGGCCATTGCACCTGAGCAAAGTTGATGACAACCACACCTACTTGCAAGCATGGTCAGACAAGATCAGGAAACACATTTGTAAAGGAGGAGTGCTGTACACCTGTTGTGCACTTTGTTCTGGAATACACTTGAAGAAGGAGGGGAGATTTAGACTAGGAAAGGAAGAGAGGAGGGGAAGAGGAAGAGGGGGAGATTAGGAAAAACTCCAAACAGATCTTCAAACAGAAGCCCTTACCAATGGATTGGTATTTTACAACTCTTAGCCCTTTGAGAAAAGCACCCTGTTACTCCTTGGGAAAGCCCTAGAAATTCTGAGAGCTGGATGGAAGCCATGTTGCTATTACAAAGGGACTTGCCTCCAGGCCCCAGACAGCTGGGGGTTGAGGCCAAGGCCTAGATCTGACCATGAAGGCCTGATGGAGAAGCCACCTGGCATGGGAGACAGAACTGGAGCCAGACAGACTTGGGCTTGAATGCTGGTGATGAATCCTGGAACATCAAGCCTCAGTTTTTTCATCTGTGAAGGAAGTGATCATGTCAGCTTAGGGGCTTGGGAGACAGTAGGTGCCCTGTAAGGTACTGATTGCTGTTAAGGAAGGTGGGTGTTTACGAACTCCTACTCCCAGTACCCCCACCCCTACCCCGCAGGGATCATCTTCTAGAATCCAAAATGTAGGTGTTTTAATTAGCCTCATTTTGCACCCGAGGAAACTGGGATCTGGAGAGGTGAGTGTGTTGTTCAGAATTTTGATGTTTTTCTGCTTCCAGAGCCCCGTCAGGGGCTCCATCACAGATGGTTGGGAGATTAGGAATGATGCAAGCTCCCCTGTCCTTGACTCACTCAAAGTTCCCTGACCTGTACATGGAGGAACTGGAAGAGCCAGGCTATTTCACACACGCCCAACCTGAAGGCTCCAGGCACTGGTGTGTGGGCCAATGCTGCCATCTTGTGGCGTTGCTCTGTTACTGCAGGGATCTCAGGCAGACTCTGGGCCTGAGCTTCCTGCCTTTACATTTACTGGGCTCCCTAGCAGGACACACAGCTCCTGGAGAGAATGATTCATCAGTTACCACTGATCCCTAATTCTCTGATTCCAGTCACCAACTCAAGCCCCCTACTCTGCCTCTAATGTCCATTTCTGCTCTGTGTGGTTCAACTTTTCCCTCTGGGAAAATTCTGGACCTCTTGGACACTCCAGTCCTTGACCCCTCTGTGTTCCCTCCATCCATCAGGAATCTTTCCTTCTACCCTGAGCCAGCTAAGAGCCCCTGGTCCAGCACTTGAGAAGCATCTGAGCAATACTGTAAGCTTCCCTGTCTCTTATCTCCTAGTGGCACTAGCATTCTATTGCTCCTGTTAAGAATATAGCTGTAAGCCCTGTTGTTACCCGTTTGGAAGCAAAGTCAGGCTGGGATGTGGGGAGGTGCCCCAGTGTTGGCCCTGCCACCTCCCACCTCTCTAGAGAAAGGAGCTCTGTGCCAGGGGTACCAGGATGGTGATAGGCATCTGCGATTCTTAACAGTCTAGGGACCCAGGACCTTTCTGATCCTAGTTGTACCAATTTTCAGCTACTGGATGGTGGTTGCATTCACACTGTCCCCCTGGAGCACTGACTGGAACTGGCATAGGATTTGATCTGGCCATAGTGCCCAAGAGACAAGAGTTCTAGGAGATTCTTGATGTATATATCAGATCAGCGGATGTTGGAGCAGGGCTCCTGTCTGGGACTCTGGGCACTGTGTCTAGGTGTGTGTGAGGACTTTGTATCCCATATGAGGTGGCTTAGTTTTGTCCCTCTTTTTTTTTAAAGATTTATTTTATTTATTTATGCATACAAGAGCTGGGGTACAGGCCAGAGGTGGAGGGGCGGGGGTCAGGGGGTGAGAGGATTCACCAGAGACAGAGTGGGAAGCAAAACAGGCAGATTTTACTGAAATCCACTGCTGAGGGGAGCAGTGGGTGAGACAGGAGAGGACTGCTGCTCCTGGCTGAGGTTCGACCTCAAGCTGCAGTGGCTGGCAATAGCTTCGTAGTGCTGAGACTTAACCCCTACACCATCAGAGAGGCCCCTAGTTTTGTCCCTCTTCCCACAGGGAAGAGGGTCTGTGTCTGATATTTTGTGGACTTTCAGGGTTCACTGATGTCAGGTAGGGGTGAGGTTCAATTGTGGGGCTCTGGTCTCTATGTGGTGAAGATTTGTTCTTGGTGTGAGAGTGAAATGGAATGGGCAGAGGGGCTTGAGATAGGTGGAAGAGGTGAGGACAATGATGAGGGTCCCACTTTGCTCACCTGAATGGGTGATGGCGACGCTACCGAGACAGGAAATGCTAGCAAAGGGCCTGTGTGGTGGCACATTGTGAGTTTTGCTTTGGAGTGTTGCATTTAAGGTGCCTTTCAGGGCCCCGGGCTCCAGAGGGTGGTGTCAGGTAGGCATCTAAGAGCTCAAGGGAGAGGCTGAGGCTGGAGAACTAAGATGGGCTGTTGTTATAGGTGGTAGCTGAATGAGAAACCAGGAGGAGGGAAGAAGACTGAGCTGAAGGGAGAGCCTGCAAAGGGGACAAGGAAACGGACAGAGAGAAAGGGAAGCCAGGAGCGTGAGAGAACATGAAACCCCAAGGCTTTGCAGGAGGAGGGCAGGTTCAGTAGGATGTGAGCTGAGAGAACTCTCTATGGTTCGGCTTACCTTCCCTGCCCAGTGCTGGTCCATTTCCCCCAGTTCAGGGAGGAGCCTTCTTTAAGGTTGCTTCTGAGCAGGGAAGAACCTCTTTATTGATGGTCTTGGACGCAGGCCATCTGGCAGGCCTAGAAACTAGAACAGGATTGTACCTGGGTCTAGGTATCCAAGGACTCTGGGGCCCCAGCATATCTGATCACAGCCTCCATCTTCACAAGTTTTCTCTCCACTGGGAGGGTCCTGGGCTCCTTGTGATTCAAAACAGGTGGGCCAGGTCTTGATTGTCCTTGGGCCTGTCTTTGCCCATCTGTAAAGCCAGGAGGAGAGTGCCTGCCCTGCCTCTAGAAGTGGTGATGGGGTGTTGATTGTGGAGATCACAGAGGGGATTGGTGTGAAGATGTCTAGGGAAGGCCACAGGGTCTGTTGTGTCAGGGGGTGGAGCTGTAGGTGGCCTGTAGTCCCCACTGTGTGGGCTTTGGCAGGACCACGGAGCCAGGAGTCAGGAGAGGACTGATTCAAGCCATGTGACCCAACAGCCTCTCCTGGTTACAGGATAAGAAGAACACAGGAGGTATCACTGACATAACACACTTGAAACTGCTTTGTGCTCTCAGATGCCTGCAAAGGCAAGGAACTATTCCTTTTCATTGTTATCTAATGGGGC